GCCTAAAGACAGCAGTGGATATGACATTGAAGAGAATCTTTCATTAACTTTTGCAAGGACAGTTTTAATAATGATTTAAATGGAAACTGCAAAAATATGGGGTAGTAATTTGAGTGACTGTTGTTAAAGAAAGACTTATTTAGACCAGGGAAAGAATGTGTTTGCAAGTTGAAGCTCAGACAATATAGCTTAATAATCAAGGTATAGACTTGGTAGATTTTGGGTTAAATCTCACCTTTCCCACTTACTAGCTGTGTAAATTTAGGCAAGTTGCTTGATTTTTTATGTGCCCCAGTTTCCCTAATTGAACAATGAGGAAAATAATAGTTTTTATTTCATAGGATTACTGTATTATACAAATTAATACATATAGGAGTTCAATAGAGGGCCTGGTTGTCAATAGATGTTTGCTATATAACATGGCAATGGTCAGATGGGTGGCACAATCAAAGAAGAAAAAGAAGTTGATGAAGAGAGGAGAAAAAGGAAGCAGATGGGACAGCTTCTCAGAAGGTATAATAGAGAATGAATCTTTTTCCTCTTACCAGTTGAGTGAACTTGGGTAGAGTAATTTACTTTTCTGTGCCTCAGTTCCTGGTTCCCTCCTCTGTAAAACAGAGATGATAATAGTGCCTACCTCACAAGGTTATTGTGAAGATTAAATGAAATGATAAATGAAATACAAAGAGTTATATACTCTTACACAATGATTGTAAATTCTGAGATGATGTAGTGGGAATGGTGAGAGATTATTATATAAGATAGGAGCAGGCATATACCTTTCTCATCTTTCAGAGATAGGGCTTAGTTAGCCTCTATGGCTAATAGGAGTGTGTTACCCCTCAGGTTTAGGGCTGGAAATTTTTTTTGAGAACCTCTATTCTCTAAGTCAGAGATTCACAATTTTCCTTGTTTATCTTAGACACCTGGAAGACTTATGAAAATATAGATTGTCAGATTCCATCTCTAAGTTTTTTAATCAGTACATCTGGGGTAAGGCCTGAGAATTTTCATTTCTAAAATGTTCCCAGGTAACATTGATATTGCTGGTTCAGGTACCATACTTAAGAGAGAACCTAAACTTAAGCTTAAGAGAACCTAAACTTAAGCCAATGGTTCTCAACCTTAGCTATAACCCTGGGCAGCTCTTTAAAAAATCCATTGCCAAGGGTTTATCCTAAACAATAACATCAAAGTCTCTGAGGATGGACAGAGTTATCAGTATATTTTAAATGTCCTTAGATGATTCCTCTATGCAGTCAAGGCTGAATTACTTTAGGGGAAGCCCAACTAATACCCTAGTCTACCCCGAAACACACACCTATCCTATCCCTAAAGGGGAACTGCAGTGACTATAAGTGGAGTAGAAAGGCTGAAAATGTTATACATGTGTAACATGTTCTTTTTCATGTCACACTGTCCACTTCAGAATCAATCTCTCTCTCCCTCGCTCTTCCCCTCCTTAATCAATCTCTCTCGCTCTCGCTCTCCCCCTCCTTTTTCTCATTCTTCTGTTTTTGAGTTTTATGTTCACTAAGGCTAATAAAGTATCTAAACATATAGTTCCTACTTGAGGAACAGTAAAACAGAAAGGACTTGGGCCTCCCCTGGTGGCGCAAGCAGTCGAACGCAGTACTGTGAAGCTGTCCTCAGCCTTTGCAGCGCAGGTCCAATCCCGGCCAGCTGGCAAGGGTCCCACACGGCGCAGCAGACCTCGCCTGTCTCGCCCGCTGCTCCCCTCAGCAGTGCATTTCATCAGTCTGCCTGTTCTGTTTCCCGCTCTGTCTCTGGTGAATCCTCTCACCCTCCCGCGAATCTGGCCTGTACCGGTTCTTGTATAAATAAATAAATAAATCTTTTAAAAAAACAATAAGGACTTGAGGAGGATAGTGAATAGGTTAATAAAAAAATAAGTCATGTTTGCCAGCAAGACAGAGAATTATAAAAATTTTCCAAGTGGATAATTTTCACAATTTCATGATACAGTAAAACAGTACTACAAAATTTTGTGACATTTTCTTTAATACGTTAAGCAGTCTTCTAATGCTGTTTATGATTTTTTCATTGGAGTATGTAAACATACTTTTTATATTTAAGCAGTTCCAAATGTGTTTGCAATGTTTTTCTGATAATTGTAAGACAATGGTTAGTGTTAAATTATTGGAGAATGAAATCTCCAAGAGGAGAGGGGCTTTATTTTGTTCGTTGTTCTATATCCCCAGAGTCTTGCGCAGTGATGGTATAGAGAAAATTCCCAGTAGATATTTGCTGAATGAATTAATGACTATCCTAACAAAATGTACTTTGGTGTTGATACCTTTACCTATCATGGCACCTGACAGTTAAAGGCTGCGCAAAAGCTAGGAAGAAACTCAGATCAAAATAAATATAGGGGTAGGTTGTTCTAGTCTAACCAAAAACAGGATAGTCCACCAGAATAAGGCATTCCAGATGGAAAATCGGGGGGGTAAAATGAGCGAGGAAGAGCGATCACAGTGTCTTTCTTGCAATTATTCCTCATGAAACCCTTTTGTTTCCCCCTTAGAGTGAAATTCTCCCAAATTCCAGGAAGCAGAATAAATGACACCAAACAATTTAAAGTGCTCTGAGGAAGCCACTTCAAGTCCTTGCAATGATTTCTATTGCTTGCCTATAGCACTCGTTAGTGGACTTCACAAATCTTTCATGGCCCTAGGAAGAAAATAACCATACTTCAGCAACAGTATTTTATGACAACTAAGAACTGCCTACATCCTTCAGCTAGAAACTCCTCCTCCTCCCAAAAAAACAAACCAACATGAACAAAGGGACAGTCAAATATTAAGAATGGAAGCACAGTATTCCTTAATATATTCCATGCATACCAAATATGCAGGAGGTTGGCTGTGGAGCCAGCACACAGTTCCTTCCTCACTCTCCTTGCAATGATGTGGATAGCAGAATTCAGTGGGTGTGACACACAAGTGGTTCTGGAACAGATTGCACTTCCATTGATGAACATAATCAGAATTCCAGTTAAATTCATGTTTCCTTTGTTTTTAGGATCTCATAGGCCAGGGACATTTTGGAGAAGGAACCCTAAGTGAGGCTTTCTTCTTTATCTGAATCCAGAGAGCTCAATAATATGGCCATCCTGAATGAGGTTTTTTTTTTTTTTAAGATTTATTTATTTATTTATACAAGCACTGGGTACAGTCAGAAGCAAGGGAGGGTGAGAGAATTCACCAGAGCCAGAGCGGGGAGCAGAGCAGGCAGAAAGACCGAAGTACACTGCTGAGGGGAGCAGCAGGCAGCAGGAGAGGTCTGCATGCCATGCGGGACCCTCCTCCAGTGGCTGGGGAGCAGCCTGGGATTGAACCAGCGCCACAGAGCCTGAGGGCAGCTTCGCAACCCAGTGCTCAACTGCTGTGCCACCGGGGAGGCCCTGAATGAGGTTGCTTTAAGGATTGGAAAAACCATTTGAGTAAAGAAGGTATGGCTGAAGGCATGTTAGCTTAATATTGCCAAGGAAACTATCACATAACCTTGATGGGACTTGGCACTGTGGATGCAATGAAACCAGCACTTTAAAGAAAGGAGTGCTGTGGCTTGCATTTAACACCGGAGGCAGCTGAATTGTACATTGTAGAGCACTGGAAGCTGAGGCATTCCATTGGCCAACCAGAAACTTCCAGAGTGAAATACTAGCCATAAAACCCTCAAACACATTTTTATCTCTTTGACCTGTGGGATATTATGCTCTGTTTAGTCCCGCCATCCTCCCTTAGCAGAAGCATGAGAGAGACAATCATGGAAGATATATCACTGGTCTTCTAAAAATTCTCTTCCACACCAGAATTTTTTTTTTTTTTATTTAACAGCAGAAGTGCTGGGGAAGTCTTCCTCCCTAACAGAATCAGAACAGAGCAATGGGAAAGGTAGATCAGCGAAGGTGGCCTTAGTTTTTTTTTTTTTTTTTTTATTGACGCATCCTGGTCCTCTCTCTTTGCATACAATTTTGATTTGAGTTCCTCTTTCAGTTGGATCTCCCAGTTCCTTGGGTTTGGGCATAGGGATGCCTGTTACTAAAATAAAGACAATAAGTGCAAACCATCGGAACTTTGACATGACAAATGCTTGGTAAATATTGCGATAAAATTCAACATTCCTCTCCATATCCTAAGAAGAAACTGTGGCCACCAGCAGTTTAAAAAGGAATGAGACCATCGTACATGGTTTTGACATATTACAGACACCATTCAGCAGCAGGATCAACCACAAAGAATGAATTTGTCCTTCAATAAATACTTGTAGAATGAATAAATGTGTTCAATTTATCTGCACTTCCATGATACCTCTCAGGAAACAAATTTTTCCCTTGGCTAAACCTGCATTCAATTGACTCCACAATTAACTAATATGCTATTTGGCAACACAGCACAGGGTGCACCTCCTGTATATTAGAGACAAGCTGGTATGAGGGATACAAAGTTGTCCTCTCCACAAAGATTTCCACAACATACACAGTGTGATAGTAAGGCAAATCACTATCATCCTTTTTGAAACTGAATTTCCTTACAGATTCCCTTCAGTTGAACTGTGCACTGTCCCTTTAAGAATCCAGGCAAGATGGAGCCCTCCCAGTTCTCAGCTAGAAGCTTTAAGCATCCAGATCCGGATGCTGTAACGTGACAAAAAGAAAAAACGCCTGGAGGGGGTAAATCGCAGCTGCAATGGCAGGAGGGGAAATTGAGGATCTGACCTTACAACCAACAAACCCCGAGGGCACCAACGCCGCGTAGGGCAGCTCCAGTAAGCTCTAAAGCGCCACCCCTCCTTCCCTCCCCTCCCCTTCTTATCACACCCCATTCCGCTCCACCCTCAGGATCCTTCTTGAAAGAGTCTCCTTAAGTAAGGCGGTTTCTTCACCGCCTCGTGGAGAACCCAGTGAGAGTGGCCAAAGGAAGGGGGCACGGGAGTGTGGGGAGAAGGGATAGGTAAGCAAAATGAAAGAGACTTACTTTCAGATTCTGCGACTGCGAAGGCATCCTTTCCTCCCAGTCTCTGGCCAGGGTCGACGGGGCGGGGCCGGAGTTGAGCTGGCGGAACCGGGTCCTCACTGCCTCGCACAGCAAACCTAGTTCAGTAGAGAGTTTAAGGAGAATGGGCACCGACTACGGCCGGTGTATACTTGATTTGAATTGTCTCAAAAGGAGACGTAACGTCTTGAAATAGTTGGCCAGGAGTAGGAGTGAAGGTGAGCTCTAAAACACTTCCTTTCTGGCTAGTATTCTGACCAGCGTTAGTGATATCAGGGGCAGTGGTTTTCTTTTTTCTTCCTTTTGGTTTCTCCCAGCTGCTTGTCCCAGACCCCACCCAGCGGCTCCACCCCATCCACCGCTACACATTCTGTCAATCACCAACCCCATTAAAGCTGCATCTGCGAGACTTAGATTTTCATCCCTATTTAGCGAGCAAACAGAATCACTCGTCCTCCTGGCCTTTCCACAGTGCTTCCGACCTTTCCCCCGAGTTTATGAAGCGGTGGTTAGTTGCTAGTGGCGGCCTCCCCTCCCCCTCTGCCCTGAAGCTAGCACAATTGGCTCCACCCAAATTCCTTCCCGGCCAGGCCACACCAAGCCAAACCCTCACCCCATCTCTTTTCTTCACTTTGTCTCTGGTAAAAGTGGTTCCCTAGGCTACCAGAAGACTGAAAAAGTTCCTGCAGACCCACTCCCCTACAGTCACCAAAATGAAGTGGCTAAGGCAGATTTTCTGTCCCTGGGATCTCTCTGATCTAGTTCTCCTGGTATGCTCAGCATACTCTATATCCCATCTGGGTGAACCTCCAAGTTTCTGACTAGAATGGGGAAAGAGACACCATTCCTCTAACTCACCCAAAACAGCAGTTCCATACCAAGGTCCCACTCTATAACTGTTAGGGGGAAATGATGTCCTGAGCTAATCCCATACAGGCTTTGTGGACCCCACCCCACTCCAGACTAAAGCCATCAAGACATTGGGAAAGACAAATCCCATCACCACCAAGGGAGGGTGGCTGGGACCTGAGGGTGGAGCTGGGCAGCCAGGTTGGATATAAAAACCAAACACATGGGCCTTGGGCTCTCTGGCTCGCGATCGCCTGGCTTCACCGCTCCTGGCTGGCGGCCAACTCTGAGAGCGCCATTTTGGGATTCCTGATCAGCGGATTGGGTAGGACTCATTTAAAACTTTGTCTCCCACTTTTCTCCCAGAGCTGTACATTTCCTCATTTCCCCTTCCCTTGTAAATAAACCTTTTATTAACCTTTCACATGTGCCTGCAGTAGAGCATTGATAAGTCCTTTTAAGCGCGCGGGTGAGGACCCACAGTCAGGCACCCCGTTTTGTATCGGGGTTGCTCTACAACATAACTAGGCAATTCAATGTTAAAGAAGTAACCAGAGGTCCCATCTATGAATAAGTGGAACTCCAGAATGACCCATCAGAAGTCGTACAATGCCATTCTCCATTCCAGCTAATGGCAAAACCTGGATGCTCAGGCCAGAAATATGGGAGCCATCCTTGACTCCTTTTTTCTTTCATACTTCACACATCCACACCATGTGGATTCTGTCTTTAAAAAAATATGACCAGAATTGAACTGGTCTCAACATTTCCACTGTTACCACCCAGATCCATCCCTAGTTGCAGTCTCTGCCTACCTATTTGACTTGATTTTTTAAAACTTAGTTAATTCTTCTCTAGTCCACTGACCTCCTTTGCCTTCCAAGATACTAAGATCTGTCTGGCCTCAGGGACTTTGCATTTCACTTCCTTTTATCTGGTTCTTAATACCTTTCAGATCTCATGGAATCTTTTCCTGAATAACAAAATTAAAGTAACCTCTATGAACCAGGCACTGCCTGTGACCTTATCCCATTTTATTTTTATCACAAAATTGATCACTATCTAAAACCATCTTATATGTGTTTGCTTCTGTGGCAAAGTATCTCTCCCACTAGACTATAAGTTCAGTAAAAGCAGGAACTATATCTATTTTGTTCTCTGCTCTATCCTCCACATACTGAACAGTGGCTGCCATAAAGCAAGGATTCATTTGTTGAAAGAAAAAAATGAAGGCACTATCTTCTAGGATCTTTTCTAGGCAGTCTCTATTTTTAAATAACAAACAAAAAGAAGGCAGGAAACAGACAAAACTGTTATGAAATACCTTCTCCCATCTATTCTCCTTTAGAACATCCATCTAGATACTGTACTTCTGGACTGAGTTAGCAGCAAGTAACACAGTGACATTGTATTTTAGGTTGGCTTTTAGGGTTTGCAGTTGATTGTTGGTGGTGTTCTCAATTTTGTCAAGTTAAAACGGCTATAGAAGTAATAGAGAAGCAGGTCAAAGGACAGGGGCCAGTTAGAGAACAGGTCACTATCTGTGGGTTCTCACCCACATGCACAATTACAAGACCACTCAAGCTCATGGAAACAACAATGGGGATTATTTAACAAAGAGGGGAAACAAAGAGTTTCTAAGGACACAATTGGCTGGCTATCTCACCCTAGATAATGTCCAGAAGTTCCAAACAAAAGTCTGCTCACTCAAGATGGCACATCCCGCCTGGAGTTTGTGCAGCCAGCAAATGGCGGGCCAGGATCCAACTAACCACAGCTGGAGGTGCTCACATGCAGGGCCCCTAATATGACACTGCAGCCGCCTGCAGCAACAGTCTGAATGTAGGATGGACAGAACCTGAAGCTGAACCAAACAGCAACAGAGGTAGTAGCACTGGGAAGCAGTACTGGACAGTCAGATACACTGAGTTAACAGCTCTCAAAAATGACCCAGATGTAGAGATCCAGTCACCCGTCGGCAGTGCTGCGCAGCACTGGCCAGTGGTGCCAGTCACCCAGTCAGCAGAGGTGGTGTTAGAAACATCAGCATAACAGCTCTTTGTGAATTGTCAGCCCACACAAACAAACAGCTCTTTGAGACACCAGGCTCAGGGCCTATGGTGTTCTTTTCAGACAGTGGCAGCAGCAGGTCCAGAGGCAGGTGCAGCCACTCATTGGCTGTGAAGTTCTTAAGCTTATCTCTTCCTAGTCAGCTACTGGACACTTCTTGCTTATTTTTTCTTTCTTCTGTCTTTCTCCTTTTTCCTTTCTTCTTCAGAAGCTAGGAACAGAGTGGGAGGCCTAAGCTGTCTCGTTCCTCACCTTTTATCCTCTTTCAGGGCTCCCCACCCTAGTTTATATCTGTCTGATTGAACCATTTTCAATTCTAAGTGACCTACTGGACTGTTTTATGACCAAATAGCCCATCTAGCACCAAATAATTAACTAATGAGCTCATAAACACAATTGCTTCATTTAGCTCATACCTCACCGGTCCATTCTACCATCCAGGCACCAAATATAAAACGGGTAGTATCAGGCCTACATGTAGCTGTCCTGCGGCAGAGTGCTGCCTCTGGGCCTTCACTGGGGAAAACTCCTCCTCAAAACACATCTGGCCTGTGTGGGAGGGACTGCCTAGAGGCAGCACCCTCTGATTCTGCTTTTCAACAGCTCCAACCAGCAGTGGGAAATAGCTGGCCCTGCCAGGCAGTCAACAGTGTGGAGCCACAATTTCAAAGTCAGTGCTAGGGAGCATTGTTCATAAGGCTCTGATTCATCTGAAGTAATAGAATTTTTGCTTCACAATGTTTTTTATTTATTTTTTTAATTTTAAATATTTTATATCATTTTACATATTTGCACAATGTATGCATTTTCATCTTGGTTATAGTCCCCATGCAATTCCCTCCCCCTCTTGTTTTAACCATACTCCCTCCTCCCCAACCCCCTATATAGTGTGTCTCTGGTTTATAGTTGCTTGTTGATTTTGATTTTTACTTTATTATAATTACCCTTTATCCTGGTCCCTTATTTAGGTTTTCTAAATTCCTGCTATGAGTGAGACCATCCACTATTTTTCTTTTTCCTTCTAGCTTATTTCCCTGAGCGTGATCCCTTCCAGCTCCATCCATGTTGCTGCAAATGGCATGAGTTTATTTTTTGATAGCTGCGTAATATTCCATTGTGTATATGTACAGAATCTTCTTGATCCAGTCATCTATTTTTGGACATTTCAGTTGTTTCCATAGCTTAGCTATTGCAAATAGTACTTCAATAAACATAGGGGTGCAGGTGCCCTTTTGAATTAATGTTTCTGTGTCCTTTGGGTAAATATCTATTAGGAGTGGAATTGCTCGATCATATGGAAGCTCCATATTCAGTAGGTTGAGGAATCTCCACACAGCTTTCCATAGTGGATGGCCCAGTTTGCACTCCCACCAGCAGTGTAGGAGAGTTCCTTTTTCTCTACATCCTCATCAACATTTGTTGTTGCTAGTTTTTTTTTAATATGTGCCATTCTCACTGGTGTAAGATGGTATCTCATTGTAGTTTTGATTGCATTTCCCTGATTACAGGTGATTTGGAACATTTTTTCATATGCCTGTTGGCCATTTGCATTTCCTCTTTGGAGAAGTTTCTTTTTAGCTCTTCTGCCCATTTTTTGACTGGGTTATTTACTTTGTTTTTGTTGATTCTCATCAGCTCTTTGTAGATTTTGTGATCAGTCCTTTATCATTAGTGTTGGTGCAAAAATTTCCTCCCAGTCGGTGGGGTGTCACTTTGTTTTGGTTTCTGTCTCTTTTGCTGTACAGAAGCACTTTAATTTGATGTAGTCCCAGCTGTTCATCTTTGCCTTCACTATCTCTGCTTTGGGTGATGATATGTCTTTAAAGATATTACTAAGGTGTATGCCATGTAGTGTTTTGCCTATATTTGCTTCAACATATTTTATGGTTTCAGATCTTATGTCTAGTTCTTTAATCCATTTTGAGTTGTTTTTTGTGCATGGTGTGAGATAGTAGTCAAGCTTCATTCTTTTGCAGGTAGTGACCCAGTTTTCCCAGCATCGTTTATGGAACAAACTTTCCTTGCTCCTTTGTCAAAGATTAGTTGACCATAAATCTGTGGGTTTATTTCTGGATTTTCTATTTGGTTCCATTGGTCTATGTGTCTGTTCTTGTTCCAATACCATGCAGTTTTGGTTATTATTGCTTTGTTATATGGTATGAAGTCTGGGAGTGTGATACCTCCATTTCCCCCACCCCTTTTTTTTCAGGAGAGCTTTGGCTATTCGGGGTTTTTGGTGGCTCCACATGAATTTCACCAATATTTGTTCTATTTCTTTGAAAATGTCATTGAAATTTTTATTGGAATAGCATTGAATATGTAGATTGCTTTGGGCAGGATGGCCATTTTGATAATGTTAATTCTTCCAATCCATGAGCAGGGTATGTCTTTCCATTTCTTTGTGTCTTCTTATATTTCTTTTAACAGTGTTTTATAGTTTTCTTTGTATAGGCCCTTTATCTCTTTTGTTAGGTTTATTCCCGAGTATTTGATTTTTTTTTTTGTTTCAATAATAAAAGGGATGGTTTTCTTGATTTCGTCTTCTTCAGATTTATTGTTTGTGCATAGGAAGGCTATTAATTTTTGTGTGTTGAATTTGT